CTCCATTATGGATAAGATTTCATTTTGATAAATCACACAGTGTTATTAACTGATGACCACGTTTCCAGCACAAATTATTGTTCATAATCATTTTTATTATATAAACAGTGGACATCCGAGACCCTACGTAGGATTCTCAACAAAGCAAGAATTACGGTGGCATTCAAACCTACAAATTCACTCAGGTAGGACAAGCTTTGTAGGCTAAAAGACCCGGTAGACCCAATTAGGCAAAATAATACTTATAAAATACCTTGCAATGACTGTTAGTTAAGTCAGCTACATAGGTCAAACTCGTAGATCAGGAGTAGTGAGGTTATCAGAACATAAGAATTTAGCTGAGGCTATAGAAATCGACCCCGCAAAGATAAGTAATTTAGAAGAAAAGTTAGTAGCATTTCCACTGCATGCATTAACACACAACCACACAATAGAGTGGGTGGGACAGAGTTAAAATTCTGAAAAGTGATATAGGTAGGTGGAGATAGATTACTGAATCCTGGTTCATAAATCTACACCCAATACATGCAACATAAATGACTCAACGCAAATACCAGAGATATGGAAGATATTATTACCAGTCAAAAAAGAGGATGATAAATAATGTTAAAATGTATTTCAATTCACATCACAACATTCTAACAAGTTATTTATTTATTTTACTATGAAAACATCGTATTTCTCATCTGATTGTATTTTACTGATAACACTAATATTATTTCCGAATGTACATTATCTTTTATTGATTTTTTATTCAATTGTTTAATCGATTCCACTCATGTATATAAATGAAGCAAAACGTTGTGTAAGTGACTTGATATGATTATGAGCGGCAATAGTTTGGTCTCGAAAGTTGGTCATCAGTTAATGTTACTGTACAACACTGTGTGTGATTTTATCAAAATAAAATCTTATCTATAATGGCATAGTTATACTCTACCACAGTGCCCAAGTTTTATTCTTATATCAATAATTACAAAGTTAGTTGGAACGCCCATGTAAATATAAATATTGTGATTAGATTGTTCAGGAGTTATTTTTCAAACAATTTTTCCCTCTGCAATTTATATATATTAGAGTAGAGCCATAGACAAAGATTTAGTTGAAAAGTAAATATTTCTTCACTAAATCTTTTTGTCTTCTGAATGTCTAAAATATGGAATTCTTTTCCCTTGATGATATGAGATAGTTGGAGGCAATCGGCAGAAAGCCTTGCTTGACCTAGGTTTCGTGCTAGTTGGCACTCATCATCAAGGCGTATCTGCAACCTTGAAAAAGGAACTGATTTCCCTTCTCAGATTCGAAGTCACGTCACCCAGTGCTACCTGCAGTCAGAGACGTCACCACTGAGCTATTTGGGCTCGCGATGGACCTCCTGAGGACTGTAGTGGGTATTTTGATTGGCCACTAGTAACTGGTGTGGCGTGTCTAGTCCTTTCTTTGGTGCAGACTGGATTCTATCAGTCAGGTTTTGCAATGTGTCCACCATTCTAGGTAGCTCGCCTATATAACACGTACACACACACACACAGAAGGACTAGTAAGTTCATGTGACTACCCGACCAAATCGTGACCACAAATAACACACTTTTTCCAATATTGTATTGCTCTTGTTTTTGGTTTTGATGAATACTTATGAGAAGAATTTTAAATCAAAACAAATGATTCAGCGAAAAGACTCTTTTCAACAACAAATTTATCATCAAGCTGTACAATCGTATATGTATATGGTTTTTAAGAAGCTATATCCGGTGAGGGAATTGAATCAAAGGTGTGAATGCAATTAAAACTAAAATGTTTGTGATTATAATCATAGTTAAATGTCAAGTGGCAAAACAATTAATGTCATATATAGAATAATTCATAGGATGTGTAGAACTTGGAAGGGGTGTGCAATTATAGCATTAGTAGGCGAATAGAATAAGTATAAAAAAGTTACGTAACACTGTGTAAAATTTGATAGCATTGAATTTAATGTCGCAAAACAGAATTGATTTAGAATGACAAGTGGAACAAGTGAAATAATACCGGGGACAGTTAAAAGTGAGAGTAATAGTAACAATTGACGTAATAAGGAAGAGTATACAAATTGAATAGACACAACGAAAAAATTGGTAGAGCCAAAGTATGATTAGGCATTATCATACTTTAGCATAGAGGGATTAAGAATATGAAAGTTGGCGGGGAGGTTGAACGAACTTTTTCTGTATACAGAAATCTGGCTTTTCTGTTTCAATAGCCAAAGCCAATTCCCTCACCGGATATAACTTCTTAAAATCCGAATATATACGACTGTACAGCTTGATGATAAATTCGTTGAAAAGAGTCTCTTCGCTGAATCATTTGTTTTGATTTTCTAAATGTTACAATGGGAATTTACCATGAGTTAAAAGAATTTTAAAGACATGATGTGCCCTTTTTATATACATACCTTTTGTGAGTGATCACAAGAATAAGGACCAAGCAGTTAGCCAACCAACACAGATTATTAATTAAAATTGATTTGTGAAAGCTTATGATAATACTCAACTAACCGGTTGAAATATATCTGGCAGGGTCAAACATGTGTTACGTATACCTAGCCATCTATCGCCTTCCTCGACAATAGGCAATGTTAGCTGAAATAGGGTCCGGCTGGAAAACAGCTAGCGGCGGTCGAACCAAATCATGGCACCAATCAATGAAATTCACAACAGTTAGTTTAAGCCAGCCACGTAAGAAGGTGTGAACTTCCTGGTTGGGGTCCTCGGGATGGTTAAAACCAATGAAGACTGGAGACAATTGGTGATATGGCTAAAAATAGTTCTCAATGGCTGGCGCAGATGCATTCACTCCTTGTGACTTATAATTCCCAATGAAACTATATTGTTCTTCGTTATTACTATTCCTTTTGTTTCATATCCCTGTCTACTGTCTCTATTTTTTATTTCTTCTACTTTTTTCTCTTGCTACATGGAGTGTGGCGAATTGAACTTCCGCACATCGGTGCAAAGTTCTATGTTGAAAACAGACAGAGACAGACAGGTAGGGTCAAATCCAACAACCTGTTATCCAGAAACCGTTCAAAGAACTACACCTTCACTATACTGAATAAAATGTAAGATCTCGGTAAAACAAGAAGACTGATTGCAACAATAAAAGAAATTAAATGACCTGTTCACATTCAAATTACTGACACACCAAATAGCACACAATGAGATTTCTTCTAGCAGTTGAGTGGATTTTGAAATTCACAATTGTTTGGAATCTTTACAGCTGAACTGTTACCTTCTGAAAAGAAATATGAGCTGTCAGATAGGAATCCCACTAATCCATAATTATAGTGAAAAATATACCCTAAACACAGTAACAAGGAAATCGGCGACATAAACTAAAAACAAATGATCTTACATTCCTTGAATCACTGTGATACCGCTAACACTTCAAGATAAATCTCGTTCTAGTAGAAATTCATGACCAGTAGAGTCCACCATGCTACGGATGACGACGCCTACCAGCTGATCACACTGGCTGACTGTCACGACATATATTGCGAATCAGCAGGTTAGATTTGATGGTTCACAGGATTCTGCCTCAGTGACTGAAAGGTCAACAGAGTTGCCTTGTAACCTGGCAATGAGGTCAAACCCTGGCGAGGTCATGGGCGTGTGCTACTGAAGAGCAGAGGACGAAATAGCTGTCCAGCTTCAGTAGTTTCCAACTAATGATTATTGTTCGACAGTAAGGAATGCCATGTGATTAAACTCAGAGGCAATATGTAAACACTAAAATTTCGGTCTTTGGAAAAGTATAGTTCATGCTAGTCAGTTACCTGTGATTTCCTAATTTAAAGAAACAGACGCAGTCTTCGAGTTCAATTTGTAACACATTTGATGTATATATGCATCTGGGATCTTGAGGATAATCTGTGTGAAAACCACACGAATTCTTCCATTTTGGAAATTGTAAATTACTTATAAGAATGGGTTTACCGATTGCCATCATATGAAGAAAACCCCTGACAAGTAATTTTTAGAATTTACCTCAGATATCTCCAGTCAGTATCACTGCTACAAGTCAAAAATCAAATGCTAACTTATCATGTAGTTTAATTACTATTGAACTTTGTCAATAGTCTCTTCTACTGGATAAGCATTGCAGTGAAGCAATCAAAAGAAAACTGGAAAGAAAGTGTGGTGCATGAGAGTAAATCTCATGGCTTGAATTACTACTCTCTGTTTGTCTATATCAGATTTATTGTTCAATTATGGTAGTCAGTTCCAGCAGGATTACGTGATTTTGAGTTGTATAGTCAAAAGTGATCTATTCATTCTTGATGATCAATAGTATTCTTATTATTTCATTCCTTTTGCGTTCCGAGTGGGACTTAGCACTTCAAGCTTCAGCTCCGAATTTTCAGTAGTGTTGGGGGACACTAGTCCCACGCTCAACCTGCCCTCTTTACCAGATTTCCTATCAGTTAATCAAGGTTAAAAATAGGACATTCGTCGTGGATCGAACACCGGACCACGTTCATGGTTGGCGAGCATTCCTACCACTGCACCATGACATAGCCTTCATTGTCATTTTGCACAACCACCTTAAAATTCATTTATGCGGAACAAATGTTTTGCACAAAACACTTAATGTGTAAGGCTTGACACTACTAACCATCTGTTCAGGCTGGTGTAGGCGAAGCAGGACACGAACCTGGAACCCACAGCATACAATTCGCAATCTAAACAGTTCCCAGGAGGTATAATGTCACCTCTACAGTTTCCTTTGGAAACCGAAAACTATTCAGGCCACAAAGCAAGTCGCTAGCTTGACATGATAAATGGCAATCAAGAAAGTAAGCACACATGCATCATTCTACATACTACCACTTATTGTCTAACAGTGAGAACATCAACTAGCAATGCTTACAGTAATACCAACGAACAGCTGGAAACCAGTTGACTGAAAGGTGAATGATTACACGTCAACGAGCAACACTTTCACTGGTTTTGTAATTTGTATTGTTTCGATATTCAAAAAGGATTATGCAGGTTATAACTGTTAGAAATCGTTACTTAGTGTCTATTTTGATAATCAATAGACCCATATTTATACATATATATAAGAAATCATCCCCAACATGAAGAATGTCATACAATCTTCCATTTATATATATGTATGTATGTGTGTTGCTGTGAATTTAAGACAAAAAGACCTCCATTGTTGTTTGGCAAAATTTACAGAGAAGGAAGAAGGAAGGCGAAAAAGACATTGGAGAAGAAGCATTCTAAGCATTAAATCAAAGGAAAATTTGTACAAGTAATTAAATTATACACATATCTCTTCTCTGATACAAATACAATGTGGCCAATATACATATATATATATATATATATATATATATATATATATATATATATTAATAACCATAACAAATTTCATATAACACACGTTGGCTTTCAGTAATGCGGATTACATACAAGGTATCACTGGAATAAAGGCGAACGAATATACACATATATATTGAAAACAACTCCAAACAATACTTATAATAGTAATAAGAATAACGATATATACAGAGATGAGAAGAATAGGACTGAAGGGTGTGCACAAGGACTGTTGTTGTTGTTGTTGCTGTTGGTGGTTTTATTCTTCATTGAAGATCTTCATCGCTTCGAAGTTGCTGTTGTTGTTTGTTTTTTCATTTTCTATTCTTCCTCTTCCTTTTTTCTTGTTTTTCATTTTTTTTCACACTAAATGAATCTGTTTTCGCTTATACACCGTGATGATTTTCTAGCCAAGATTGAAATGCTTCATGACAAACACGAATAAGACATTCCGGTGAACAATACTCACCATCCCATCGTGGATCATCTACAACTGCAGGTTTTGTACACTGACATGATGAGTGGACAATTTTATGATTATTGATATTATCACTAGTATTATTGTCATTGTTAATAATAATACAACTATTATTATTAGTAGTAGTACTATTATTATTATTATCATTATTATTACTGTCATTACTACTAATACTAGTATTTAAACTATTATCACTACTATTAATGGTAATACTATTATCACTGTTGTTGTTATTGATCATTGTATTGGACAGACTGACTGATTTCAACGGTAGGAATGTAGATAAGGGCAGATCATCATCATCACCACCTTCGTCAACTTCAATAACAGAGTTTGTATTGCTTTCTCCAATATCTGAATCACCAGATGAAGAGCAGGATAATGGCTGAAATATAAAGCGAAAAAAGAAAAAATACAATATAATAATACATACGGGAACACAAATTGACACACAGGTCACAAAGAGTGAATACATCTGTACCAGTGACAGCGATTTTAAACCATATCACCACCAACAGTCTTCAGGCATTAGCTCTTGACCTCCTGGGAATCTAAACCAGGCAGTCTACACCTCCCTTTTAAAGTTTATTATATTTTTTTATATTTTATTATAGCTTGATTCCACACAGTATTTTTATACAAGTATGGAATTTTCAGCATGTGATATCAGCAGCCCAAATTTAGCAGGCTGACCATTGATATCAGGTGTGCGTCGGCTGGGGACCGAACCCCGGACCATGTGCATGGTCGGCGAGCGCCCTAACCTCTGTGCCACCGACGCCCAAACCAATTGTCAAAGACTTCATGGATTGATCTCAGGATAGGATTTGATCATTGTTAACAGTTTTCCAACTCATCTCTCTGTCAGCTAACATTGCTGATCAAGGAAGACTGTGGCTCGGGATGCGTAACACGTGTCCTAGCCACTTCAATCGATCTGGCTGCTAAACAACCTCATCGATTGATTCCCTTTCCTTACTGAGCACTCTATGAATAAACTCAATATCACTCACCAATTAAACATCTGTGGTAAAAGACAGTCAACCTTTTCCTATCCTCGATAAAATTACCAGAAGCATAGTCCTTTTCAGAAAAGGAAATCCTCTGATGAAACAGTTTATACACATTAAACAAGACTTTTAAATTAATTCCAACTGATGAATATAGATATTGATGAGTTGGAAGATGAGTGTATTTAAGAACAGCAATCATAACTTTAATCAATAGTTCATGCATAAAATTAATGAGAAAACTAATTAATACTACGGACATTGAACTGAATAATAATAACGATTAGAATAACATGTGACTGACTGCAACAATAATAGCATGAGGTTCCTCTAAATTGACATCTCCCAGATTTTAGTTATGATCAACTTTTTTTTATTATAGCTTGAAACCACACAGTATTTTTGGTACAATTATGGAATTTTCAGCATGTGATATCGACAGCCCAAATGTTGCAGGCCGACCATAGAAATCAGGCGTGTGTCGAACCCCGGACCATGTGCATCGTCGTTGACAGTCCTAACCGCTATGTCATCGACGCACAAAGCAAAACACCAGAATCGATCGTCCAAATTAAGCCGTGTATTCCGGGACCCAATCAGAGTACGAGATGTTTGCTTAACTAGCTGGGGATCGTGCACGAACTGATGAACGTAACACGATGGCGTGCATAATGGCGTGAATGCTCAACTGTAAGCCTTCAACTTAACAAATCGACTTAAACAATGAGGGTCAGTATCCAATATTCAGTGATAAATGCTGTTGCTAATAGTTCTGGTGAATCACTTACTGCTACAGCTTCATGCTATAAATTATTTAACCCTTCTCCCAAGCATCTGTGAAATCTTAAGCATGTAATCTAATAAAGGTTTACCAACTATACAATCTGTAGATAGATATCCCCACAAAGTTGTTAGCAAATGGCATTCATCAGTCAACATTCGATGCCAACGTTGACTGTTTAAGGGGATTCGTTTAGCTGAATGCTCGCAACCAGTAGTCCACGCCTTTCGGTACACCATCATGTTACGGTCTTTCGTTCGTACACGATACCTAGTAATTTAGCAAGGGAGGTTATATGGCATGTATGTATTGGCGTTACCTTTATCCGATGGGTACTAGGGCGGTTCAGTAAATACGCCAAAATATGCTGGTAGGATTTCATGAAAAACCAAAACCTTACGTTTAATTTCTGAAGTCACAGGATTAATCACGAGTTGACATCGGTTGGAGGACTATTGGAAAATCTGAGAGTAGTGGACACCTGTTTCCTCTTAGTTTGGGACTCTTCAGCGGTGCACACCGGCCAGGATTCTAACCCAGGACCTTCTGGTCACAAGGCGAGCTTATAGACCACCCAGCCAATTGGGACTCGACCCATGAATTCCAACTTCTGCTAGCGAATGTCACAGGTGAGTAACTTTCCTCTTACCTGACTTGGTGGAACCTGCTGGTTTAAACCCCAGTGGATGCGTACTGCTGAACTGTGCCGAACTAGGAATAAAAAACAAATGTCCAGTGCTCCAAGGTTCGCCAATGGTTCTCTAATTGATGTCAGCTGTAACCGATTAAATCGCTGCAAACCAACACTTGAAAATTAGGTAGGTGTGAAGTTGTCGCTCATCGGAGATTAGACACTTGACTCTAATCAAAAGACCGACAGGCTGTTTAATTCAGCTGCAATTTATGTTAGATTCTTGAAGGAGAGGGTCGGCAGGAGGTCTTACACTTGCTGACACCTGTCAACTAGGTATATCTGCAACTCAAAAGGACTGATGCCCCTCCCCCTCAGAGATCCGAAACACCATCGCTCATAGTGATGCAGTCAGAGGCATTATCATTGGGTTATTTGGGCTAAATTTAAGCCCAAGCAGAGGTGGACTAAGAACAAATTGGATAAGATTATGTGATTTACGTACAGTAAGCCTCTAAGAAGGGAAGGATAAAACAGAAAAGCCGCCTGCAAGATCTATCCACTGTGAAGATAAGTGCAAATAGATTGAATAAAATAATCTTGCATACTGAGTATGTCAACCCTGAAGAAATTAGTACAGTTGTATTCAAAATAAGCCATTATTGACGAGAATAGCAAATTCCATCATGCATAAAGTGTAGTATTGAAGGCCATATCGAGACTGACAGCGTTAACCTTGACCCAAGTAATCAGGACATCATCACCCCACTTCAACTTTTTGTCGGGTAAACAGTCTATAATAGACATGAAATCACCAGTTCACTTCTACGGGGATATTTAATTCTCAGTATGTTATTCACGTGCGTTTACAAAGATATTTCTCATGGAATGTATGGTTTAGTCTTTCTCTTCGGTTTAGTGAACTGTTTCATGATTAATTTTTTTGATTTGATCACTGAAATGGTTTGTCATTGACTCATAATAGTTCTGTTGTTAATCCACCTGATCATTTTTATGCAGATCAAGGTGAAATACTCTTATTTGGGGGATACTTCCATCTTCAACTAATATTTCAAAGAGTAGGATCCAAGTTCCAAGTTACTTGACCTTTGAAATTGTCATTTGAACTGAGTTTCTTGGAAGTTTCTTTTCTTATATGAGAATGACACTGCTTTATTCCGAAGGCATTTTTTTATTATGCCATTATTTGACAAAGTTTTGCAGTTTCGAAACATCTATTTTCCCGACAACAGATTTTCCGTCTTCTGTGGAACGATATTTGAAGTTAACATCTTGCTTGACTTTCGTTTCTAACGGGGTTCATAGATGGTGATTGGAGGCAATCAGCAGGAGGCTTTGAACCTAGGTGTCGTGCTAGTTGGCACAAAGCAGTCAGCAGGGTGTATGTGCAACCTTGACGGATTTCATGTCCCCTCTGAGATTCGAACCCGCGTCACCCAATGCTGCAGTTAGAGACGTTAACAGTGAGCAATTTGGGATCATGATTGACCTTCTGTAGGATTGTACTAAATGCTTTGATTGAACACTAGGTAGCAAGTGACTAGTGTTCAATTAAAAGTTCATAGATAGTCTCGATTGATTGGCATCTTATGGTTGTTTATTTCTTGAACAGTATACCACAAATGTTCATGGGTAACAGTTGAACGTACTGAAATAAATGATATCATATAAATATTTCTTAAATATCACCTGAATTTTTTCAGACATATTGCAGAATTCCTAGACTGGATCCACCAGGGTGCATGGGATTCTTCTAAGAGATATTGTTGGTTTACCTACTGCTTGCCGTTATAATAATCGGTTAATCGTTTCTGAGATATTCTATTTTCTTCCATATCACAACTATTTTTTGTATTCCTTTAAGTTCTTAGTGGAACATAGGGCTTTAAGCTTTAAAGTTTCGGTAGCAGTGGTGTTTATTACTTTTACGGGATGGGGTTGGTAGCCTTATGCCCAACTTTCCCTCTTTACCAGTCTTACTACTGGCTTAGCGAGGTGAAGTAGTGCGTAGGCCGGGGATCGAATCCCGGACCACGTGCGTGGTCGGAGAGCCTTTCACTGCTTTGTCACCGACGCCCTCACTGAACTATTGGATGACCGAAATTATGCGATAGATATTTCTTGACAAGGGTGTTTTACCAATCGTTTTACTGAGGACTTCTAAAAGAATTTCATTAGCGCTGCGGGTGTTTTATAGTGCATGCACGTGCTTGTGAGATGAAAGATATGATAAAAACATTGAATTTCTATCGAGTATTCATAACGAACTTTCTCAAACAAAGATAGGATGTTCGATTAATTATTATGTGATACCTGGATGATATCTATCACGAAATACTCTCCAGGAAATCGGAACTCAAATTAATTATCCGATATATAGAGACTGTCATACATATATACATTTTGTAATTTCATAAGTTCTACTAAATGCAACACTGAAAACGATGACTAGTATGATAACGAAATATAAACTGAAAAATATAACGACTATTCAAAAAAATTAATATACTCAAATATGATGAAAGAGAAATATCTCTGAAACGACAACTACCCATAAACTACTATGCAACAGGTGAATTTCAACAAATGATCTTCACTTAAACGACTTAATTATTCCAAAGTCATTCAGGTAAAAAATAACATCCAAAAATACTTCTTGACTTCAGTAGACGAAAGAATGACTAATGAAAACTGCAGTCAAATAAGCTAACGCATTGAAGGACGAATATGAGAGTTAAACTACAACTGTGACCACCTCAACGATGACTTAATCCTATCAAATTCCCGATTGTCACGTATTTTTCATGTTCACATCTTAGAAACAAGATGAATGACTATAGAACTTAATTTATGTTAAGCGAGCTACTTTCCAATATTACAGCCTATATTAATCACAGATAGTGGTGATATATATATATATATATATATATATATATATATTA